GATGCACCGGGCTGGTACAAAATCCTTCTGCAAATCGAACGGCAGCTCGAAGCCCCAAAGAGATCCAACACGCGATTTCGACGTGCAGAGCTGACGAACCATCTCCTGTTGTAGTCTTTCATCATTGCCTGGTGATGCAGACAGGATGCATGCCTCTCGATGCAACTAGAATAACTAGAGCGAAGACGCGCGAATACCACTTATGAAGAGGCAGCCTTTATGGGGAGGTCGTTGGCATCTGCTCCAAAGGGCTGATCGATCTCCATAGCTATATGCATCAGCGTCCAGAAAGATCCTATCAGCAGCGAAGATGGCTCTGCGGAGCACATATGTTTGCAGCGATTGCGGAACTCCGCAGTCGGCCTGTAACTAGGAAAGACATAATTGCCGCCCACCACCACGACCTGCACAGCATCTCGTGCCCGGTACTGAAACCAAAAGCTCGTTCAGTTGCAGCGAAGGGGCTGTATCACCAGGCTCGCCAGCATGGGCGTCACTAGCCAGTGAACAACTAGCCTGAGCAGGCTCGCGCAGGTGCCGGAGGAGGATGACAGGACAAACTTCCCTTGTCGAGGCAAGCAACATGCACACCAACATCTGCGCGTAAGGAAATGGAAACGGAATGTCCTTTCAAAGCTTGCCACATGCACGCAGGCAGTTCCCTAGGGAAGGCCGTTCTGGACAATGCATCGCCCACTTGACTCCTTTATCTTTCGAGCATTGTTCAGTGTGACGATGCCGCGTGAGAGCTCCTGCAGACCAGCGGTTGATGCCATGCCGCAGCATGAAGTCTGACGGGCATAAAAGCATCTCCTGGAAAGCCCGAGATAGAATAGGCGGGGGAACATCCACCACACCTGACTGCTCAGGTCTTGCGAAACCCAATCCCCGAAGCAACACCTGGTGTGGTCTCTGCCTGCATCGTGAGATTCGATGATGAGCTGTTGAACCCACTGAACCAGGACCTGCATCACCAGTTGCAAGGCATGTAACCGGTTTAAGACAACCTTCCGAAGTAGGCCCAGGCGCACCTCGCACTGGTCATTGGCAGCCTCGAGGAACTCGAGATGCCCTGGAGCAATGCCTTCCTTAGCAGGAGCACGTTCTACGGAATGCAAAAGAGAGGCTCATGCTAGAAGAGCTTTCTTTCTGGGTGGCAGGCCGTATCTAAAATTTGCAGGGAGTCGTCTGCATCGGTGTCGCACACCTCACAAAGCACGCCAGCAAGTTTCCCTGCTGCCAAGCTTCTTCAGCCAGGTCTCGCCTGCTGAAGTGCGGCACAATACATCATGCTAGCAAGGCGTATAAGAAGTTGCCGGAACGCATAGACCTCAGAGATGCGGCATCTTGCAATTGAGCACGAGATGACATCGAAGGCAGTTACGACGGACCTGCTCGGCCTTCTCGGGCTTCCGGGATGTGAAAGCAAACAGCGACGAGACAGCATTGAACCTGCTCTGTCTCGGACGTGGAATCGAATGCGAATGCTGCTGTACGAGTAGCCTACTCTGATGTCAGGTGTCTGAGCTCACGGCCACTCGCCACGAACTTGGCTGATCAATGTTGCTCCCTCCCAAAACCGCGAATATGCCTCCAGGCTTTGCACTGGCACTCGTCATGGAGGGACGGAAAGTTACCATCCTGGTTGTTCCGGAAAACCACCAGAAAGCCAAGGACGAAAGTGTAGCCAGACCATATTTCTTCCACACCTGCCATTCAAGGTACGGCAAACTTGCACTCGCTGCATCCGAATGTGCAAAATTCAGAGAACGCTGCTCTTGATTTGTGAAGTGCATAATGTACAACTAGGGTGTGTTTTCATGCTACAGGTCAAGCACGCTGCAGCCGGCAGACGGGTGCTGAACAAAGTCTGGCACGTCTGCGTGCTAAAGGTTTGCTTCCACCCCGGACGAAAGACTGAACCTTGATACGAGACTTCAACGTTGTGGATCGCTTCCTTGGATTCGCAGTCGCAGTGACACCGGCGTGAGCTAGGCTGCGTTCTCTGACCAGTTGTGTGCATTGGTGAATGTCGCTGTTGGTGCACACCAGCCAGTAGCCGGCTCCGATTAGTGCGGTATATTCGTTACAAGCCTACGTGTACCGCGGGGGAAGTGGCCGATGGAATTGCATCGACACCGTTTTCAACAAGAGCCAACACTCCTGCTTAATTGACGAGCGCCCTTTGCATACGCACCGAAAAAATGCTAACATGAGCCCTGAACGGTCAGTGGAACACCACAAAAAAGCTCCCAGAGCCTCACATCTAGAAGAAATCACTTCCCGTCTGACTGACACCACTATTGTTGGCACCAGGGGTGCCTCTCTAGAAAGTTGCAAGTCTTTATCTCGCCGGCCTGTCATGTTCTGAATGGCATCTGGCACACCATCTCCATCTGCATCCGGTGTATACCTGTACCACCATAAACTCGCTTATTCAGTGCTACAGCACCTGACAGCTTCCAACGATGCTGCGTTCTGCGCATGACCCCTCCGCCCCGTACGCGGTCCTCCGCAGCAGCCAGTGCAGCACGGCAGCGATGCAGGCGTTTGGAAGCGCCCAGCATAATCCTTTTGGAAAAACGGAGCCTCAGCATGTCACAGACCCTCCCAGGGAGGCACACATGTAACGTCCAGCAGTTGCTGCATTTCCCTCAGGCGCTCGGTAGCGAGCCATGAACCCTGAGGATCATGAGAAGAGTCCTGAGTATGATGCTGGGCAGCAAACCGGTGACATAGGCTCACATTCATTCGGAGACACAATAGCTGTGCAGCAGCGTGACAGTGCAACTTAGCTGCCATTGTCTTGCATCGTAGACAATCATCTTTCCTGGGTCCTCCGCTTTCAACTGTGATTTGCAGTACACCGGTGAAGTCAGGAGGACAATCGAGCTTTCTTGATGGTCCTTTGTCCCAGTGCCAGCGCGCCGTTTTGGCAAGCGAAAATTTGGGCCAATGCTCAGGCATCGTGACTTCGATCACCAAGTGACAACACATCTCACACACAAACTCACATGTGCAAAACGGTATATACATGCATAGGCACGCGTGCAAATTACTTGTCCATGTATTTGCACCATACATATACAAAAACATATACACATACATCTACAGATACATACACGTGTACATACACATATATACATATGCTTTCTCTATATTGCATAGTTGTTTCTTTCTATGTAACGTTCAACTAAATCGTCATGTTTATCGTGGTGACAATTACATGTATATATGGTACATATTAATGCATACACAGTACATAGACATGTGCATGTGTGTATATATACATATGTATTATGCAGACATATAGACATATACTTGTCTATCCTTCTGCTTATTGGGTTTGTTTCACGGCGGGATCGACCACGCCTGCTTTCCTTGAGGATCTTTGAATATGACCATGCACCTGCAAATCGACACAAATGCAGACAACGTCGGACAGACAAGCCAAGATTATGTTGTGCAAGTTGGCCGTTAAGGCAAAGGCTCAACACCCGGATTGTCAGCATGTCGGTATTTCACCGTCAAGACCTGCAAGAATGCCAAGTAACTACGCAACATAAGGGCGTGGGAGAGAGCCACGCTTTCGTATCTCTTCATATGCCTGATGCTGCGGCACGGTCTCGACGAAGCATTTCTCTTCACCCTGCAAACAAGTCAGACGAGAAGCTTGGCGCAGACAGATCTGGAGCGAACCTCATGCAGATTGAAGTAGGCTGCCTGCCATGGAGTATGGAATGTCACTTGGCGAGATCGGTGAACGACAACAAACGCAATTTTTAGTTCACATGTGCGGTCGTCAGCCTGAATCGGGAGGCCCAGGAAGACAAGCCGGGCAACAACCTGCGGTGATGAAGTTGCCGGCTGGCATGGCCTTCTCGAAGGTACTTCCAAGCTGCTGGCACGGAGCGCCCATGTCATCGCACCTCTCGCCTCCGCAAACTCAAATTGTGCCCTCATGTAACCGCAACTGATCGAGACCACATGCAAGCAAAGTGGATTTGCAATTGAGATCTCGCAAAGGGCAGGCCTTCAGGACCAGGGAACTCTCAGCCGCCCCATCCCGCAAGATTTGCGATTTTGGGCTCAATCCATGCCAACCCAAACAGTTGCTGCTTCACGGCGGCTTGCATCGTAGCAGTCTGCCAACACTTCCTGCCACAGGCACGACGCCCAAATCTTTTCCCCACCCCTCGATGCAGGCGAGGCGGTCGAGCACCGATTGATGCTACTCGTTCGCTCACCCAGGCTGCATGTCACAATGACGCAGGCTGCTCGTCCTACTGCTGTCACCGCCACTATGTTCCGCCGCTGCACTGCACTGCACTGGTTCAATGATGATGTTCACAAGCCACAGCACTTGTTTCTGTGACCAGCTTGCGAAGCCATGACGCCTCCGTTGCACACACACCAACAAGCTTGCAGTAGTCGTCATGAACTATGCCTAGCCTTGTGTCAGTCATATGTACTAGCCGAATGTTAGCATCACGGCTGATCAATCATTGAGTGTACCCGCCTTCCGCCAGTCTTTTGAAGGATCTCCCCTGGCTGAAAGAAATGATGCGCGTCTGAGCTTCTGATCCCTCTTGTCGCCGCAGCCCTTCCGAGAATTAAGCCAGGAGCGCCCAACTTGGCCACCATCCATCGCGCTCTTCGAGGCATCTACCGTCATCTCGTAATTGCCTGGACATGCTGTCGCAAAGCAAACAGGACGCTGGGGCCTAGGTTCCGAATCACAACGGAATCAGCAAGGCGGTGCAGCGCACCAAATTCTGCCCAGTTGATTTTCAGCTTGTCGCCGTCCAGGGACCAATGCCTTAGCCGGGCGAGCTTTCTGTTGGCCGCACAAAGCACGTCCCGCTTCTGAAGATTTGCACCGGCTGTCAGCCACTTCCGCAGCTGATTCAACAGAGAGACGTTGCATCATTTTCTATACCTGTTTTGAGCGCTCGTAATCTTGCAAGAGAAGCATGTTTGCCACGACTTGGTTGAACATCTTACTCCTCAGATAATGCATCATCCAGTCGGCTCCAGGCATCTGCAGCTGCAGCAGCATCCTGCTCTCTCTGTGACAAAAGTTGCGTCGCGTCGTCTGTGTGGAAGTGCCCGGTGTCCACCTCATGCTGCCGAAGAGACCATGCACCTGAAAACTTTCGACCACACACCATGCATTCGCAGCTTGGTGATTCCAGGTCAGGCAACTCCAAATGCCTCGTAGCCTGGAGTTGCTGTGGCTCTTCGCAGGTGCCCGCTCTGGGCATTGGCCTCCCGTCCAGACAGATCAACTCCTCCAAGTCCGGATTCGAGCGCGCTTTGTCGGCAGTATCGATCAGAAGCGCTCGGAAACGCTCCACTATGTCGGGGCTCACGGTATTATTGAGGTTCCTTCCCAATTCCTCAGTTCCCCAAAGGCACCGCGGTAAACAGACCACCACGTCACATCTGAAGCAGCATGCGCAACTATTATGCTTACAACCATCGTCTTTCGCAAAGCGTCGATGGGATCTTCAACATGTAGGCCGGCCTTCTTCGTTCTGCCCCAGAGATTCTGAAAACAAGGAGATTCGATCGTTTGTCGCGAAGCCTCTCGCACAGAGACGACTTCTCTCTTCCAGTCAAATTTGTAGGCGAAAAAGTCGAAGAAGCTCAAGAGCAGGTCTCCAGAGGATATGCCCTTGAGCCCCTTGTAACCCACCTTGTCCACATCTTGAAACGGTACAAACACTGTGTCAAAGCGGTCGTTGGAGACAATGCCTTCAGCATCCTTTCTGGCCAGAGTGTGCAGGGATGGTAGCCCATCACATACCTGGACCTTACGGACACACAGTTCCAGAAAGCATGCTGAGGAGGCGGCAGCTCCATTCGAGTTTGCCAAGTGGCAGAGTAGATGGCCTTGCAGCTGACTCAACTGTCGTTTGTAAGGACTTTTGGGGTTTCCGGTGGGCAGTGTTCGAAGCAGCAGAACACCCAAAATCTCCCTCGAGATACCAAGAGGCCATCAGCGCAAGAGTGTAGGAAGATAGTAGGCCTTGGGACCCGCAAAGCAAAGACATGCCGTCCTCAGCGCAGTCTCAGTCTCTCAGTCGGACTGTTTCCTGGAGCCCAGTGGCCAACCTCCCTTCCGAGGATGCCAGCGGTACGCGCCCAGTGACGCAAGGCCAAGATCAGGCTTTGGAGCCTGTGGTCAAGCTGCAGATATGCACCTCGGAACTGCAGAATGCTTTCGCAAGTCGGGTCCATCCACGCACGATTCTGTCGGTGGGGCTCTGCACAGAGCTGAGATGCACACGAACTAGGTGGGAGCTGTAGAGTGGCATCAGGCGCTGACAGCTCAGGATGCATCTTGCGGCTGTGTAGGTTCGCCAAAGGTTGCCACTCAAGTGCACAGAGGCGGACTCCTCTATGCATGCCGTGCCACGCCTGACCCCAAAGTTGTCAGACGTCTGCAGCCCAAGCTGTGAACACTTGTTGACGATCGCGCGCATCTGTCGAGACCGGGTTGCAGCAACCGTCTTCAGCTCAGCTGCTCGTGCTGGAGTCATTGGGATGTAGACGGTTGCATCAATTTCGGCATCGCTTTCTCCCACGCCACTGAAGCAAGAGCCGTACCCAAGAACTTGAACGTCTGAGCCCAGCAGCTGCTTTGAAATCTTCTCGAGTTTGGAAAGAAGTTTCGCTCGCCTCAAGCGATCGCTCGGCTTTGGACACACGGCAGCCCGGAATGCTTCGATCTGCTCCTCGAGCCGCTCCCGCCGCCCACGACGCATGCGCCTCGCATGCCTTGCGGACCGGGCCGCCCGGGCCGCTCCCGCTGCTCCCGCTCGGGCTCCGCAGAGCAGGCCGAGAAGAGGGACTCGCCCACTGCGGCCTAGGCCTAGGCCGCCTCGGCCTGAGGACATCGCTGCGAAAGACTTCAAAAACTTGGGCAGGCTATGGGAACTTCTACTCACCAACTCACCAAGCCTGCTGCGTGATGGGGTTCTGTCCACGCTTTCAGGACGGGTTTGAGGCAAGAAAGGACCAAGAGGCACCGCGGCTGCTCTGTCCTGCGTCAAGGAATTCACCGGTCGGAACCACGCATGCTTGTCATGGAGGTTGGGAGTCAGAAGTGGGTTTCTTGATTTATACCTTCCCTGACAGGCGAGGAGCCTCGGTGGACCTCGAAAAATGCATTGTGGCACATGTGGTCGTGAACAAAGGGGTCTCAGCCCCAAATTCATCAAGCAGCCGCCGACATGGCAGTGCTCGCGGTTCGGCACGAAGGACATGCAAAAGCTTGTTTGCTGCGACTTCGTGCCCAAATGCAGCGTCGCTCAAATAAGCTTCTCACAAAACGATGACGCCAACGAGCCAAATCCATCATGCGGGTCATAACGAGAAGATGTAATTAGATCTAAGTGTCGCTGCCTTTTGGCGTACAGCAAAAGACCCACAGCACGCTTCTGAATCCTAAATCTGACATTATCTGAAGATTTGCCTGTATTTTGTCAGCATTAAACTATTGTTGCGACTGCGATAGCAAACACTGCTAGCAGGAAGTAGCTATCACTTTACGGTTGCCACCGCTAGTAAGATCGCAATACCAATACTATCAAAACTCCGAGTACAAACTATCATCTGAAGTCTTGGATGGCGCAAGTAAGAGTGCCTTGTCGTAGGACCGTAGGACTTGGGACCCCTATCCCTATCTGCCTCCAAGCACTGACAAATCAAGCTGGATCCGAGGAGCAGGCGCGTGCGCGGGAAAATCGTCGCACTGGAAATGGTTGTAACCATCGCCCTCGCATCCGGAAAGCCCGTTTTTGGCAGGCTACGAACTATGCCGGAAACCAGATTGACATGTTGTGGCCTTGAACTTCACTGGGAACTTGCCGCCTGACCTCAACATTCGTGCATTACGGCCTGCAATGACAGCCAAGTCTGCAAAACTTCGGCGGCTACCACTCGAAGTCCCACTCGGAGCCAGCACCGTCACCTAAAAGGAGGACCTGCGGACTGCATGTCCAGGCTTAGCACCCATGAAGTCTGAAACACGACCTCCGCAGGCGATAATGCCCGGTTGAAGGCAGCCTTGTCATGCACAGTCGGAAGAGCAGAAGCGATTGGCAGCAACTTAATCCTCTCCTTGCGCCAGTTCTTGTCATCATCCGTCTTTGGAACGGCATTCCCCTTGGTGTGGATCTGTATTGGAGCGGCTATTGTCAAGTGTTCTGTCTGTACTGTGGTGCTGTCACATGGGGGCGCTGTCATCGCTGCATGATCTCGGACCGATGTTCAAACGGCAAACCAATGCAGGGAACGCGGCATCCATGGACTTGGTTGCCGCATCAAACTTCATCTCGTACCTGAGAACAACACACTCACGACGCCGCGACCTTCTCACAAGGTGCAGTCTGGGATAGCACAACAGCATACAACAGCGCATCGGAATGGTTCTCAGCTCCAAGCTTCCCAAACTTCTTCCAGTCGATCCTCGGACGCAGCAGCGGCAACGAAGCATGTCAGCTAACCCTCTCCTTTGAAGCCGAGTCGCTTCACGGTGTCTCCATCAAGTTCCCACCTGCGCTGGACAGAAAGAAGCGCACGCAAGAAAAGAAGTGATCGCACCGTCGGGCTTAAGGATACAGCCTCGCGGGTGCCTGAAACTTTGGACAGAAGAAGTTGCCTGCCTGAACGCGGCTTCAATGGGTGGCGAAGGTGGTATTAAGCATTAAACTCGCGTGCAATCAGGCTCAGGCAGGTCTGAAGCAAACTGGAAACGAACCGCCAGACCAGCCAAAATCGTACCTCAGCCAGACTTGATTAAACTCATTCATTTTTACACATGCAGTTCGAAGCTTCCCCTCCTTCAGCTGGAACGATTTCTCGTCAACCTACCCAACAGCCCGGAGTCCATGCTTGGCATTGCTGGGTCCGAAACCATCCAATCACATCATCCCTGGCGCGGCGTGCGTGCTTAGGTTACCGTGATGCTTGCAGCTCGCATGCTCGGAACAACAAGCATGTCTGAGCTTCCAACGCTTGGGTCATTGTGACGCTACTGCTCGGTGGCGTAAGTTCAAAACTGCTCGAGTGGCGTACGGGCATGAAGTTGTGTAGTCCTTTCTTGCCCTTGCAGTGCCTATGAATCCGCTGGCTGCTGGAGCAAGATGCACAAGGTATCTTTTTGAGAGACAGGTGCTCTGATCTATTTTGCGTGGCTGGTGTGAAACATGAACCGCGGATCCCGGGATATAAGTAAAGAGAAATTAAAGTTGCCTGTCGTTCGCAGGAGCAAATTTGCGTGGTCTTTGCCAGCTGCGGAAACTAATTAGCCGGGGTACGGCAGAACCTCTACGCAAATGTCAATGGACTTCGTTTCTTTACATAGTGAAGCCTTCAGATCCCAAACAGAATCTTGGCCTTTCGGCAATGAGCAACAATTCTTTTCTGCAAAGCTGTGCTTCACCACTTCTCGCCCTTTCTGCTTTCGGCTGCCCGTCCCAGCAGTTACGAGCATGGATGTTGTCGGCGCGCCCTCTAAGGAGCCAAGACACTTCATCTCAAGAAAGCAGCGTCCTTTGGCCTTCTTGAATCCAGAACCGTGTCGTCCACCCGTCTCCGTTGCCAGAACCATCAAGCGAAAAGGCTGGGTTTCTCGTCCGACCTTCAGCTCAAACTCCGGGCTGATGAGCTTCTCGGCATGAGACTCCAGCTTGTGCCCGTCCACGCACCAGCGAATTCGCTGTCCACCGTTCGCTGATGCAGTGCACTCCACCGCTCCGGGCCTCGAAGCGGCAAAGGGAACAGCACAAAGCACAGAAAGCACCATCCGAGTCCCCAGCGCCAGCGGCTCTGGTGGCTCTGGCGTCTGCCTAGTGGAGCTGAAGAATTTGAAAGTCTGCGCTCTGCGAACCGAGATGGGAAGCGCGGAAGGCACAGGGCATTGTCACGGGTGGGGCCTCTGTTTGGCCGGGGTCGACTTTCTGTCATCCGGCCGCGGCGATGCTGTGCGCCCCAACAAGGTGGGCTGCTGCCCCTGCCCGTGCGGCTGCCCATGCTGTTCCTGGCTAACCAAGATTGCCGCCTGCCGCATCTTCAGCACTGAATTCTGCCGGCCTGTGGCAGTGCCGCGTCCGAGCCCTGCTCGGGCTGCGGAAGTTGCTGCTGCAACGGGACGTTTTGAGCATCGGAAGGCACCACCATAAAGGGTACCTCACAGCAGCAATGGGAACATAAGACTTCGCCCAAACTCACTGACTAGACTCATCAGACCATGCATGACCAGGCTAAGATTAGGAAGTCTCAGGCGCTCCGACGTACCGCATCTCTTGAGTGACTGCTGGTGCCTGGACTTTCCATCGTCAGTTCGTCTCAAGCTGTAGACCGAGGGGAAATTGGTCCGATTCCAATGCAAAGCCAAGAGACAGAGACAGACGGCACTTGCGGCCCTTGCGGCCCTTGCGGCCCGGGGCCGGCCGGAGCAACTGCAGCCGGAGTTTCTGAAATCGGAGCAGCTGCCGTTGCTGTCGCCGGATACCCTTCTACCACGATTCGCTTGTCAGCCTCCAGCGTTCAAAAAAGCAAGCAAGCCTCCAGCATTCAAACAAAGCCCTTGGAACAGCGGCTACAACTTCGCCGTCGCAGAACTTCAGCCAAGCAACCGTCAGCTGCCCTTCCATCATGAGCTGTTGTTCCCAAAGATCTGGAGTGTTTATTCGCTGCCAGCCTCAGTATTGCCGCAGTCATGCACGTCAGTGCTGCTCAACTGGAACTCAACGCTGGCTGTGTTCAACCAGCGAATCCCGTGTCTGACCTGTCCAAAGGTGCTCGGACACGCTCTTGCAGCAAGTAGCTGGGCTTCTTTTGTGCTGGTGGTCGCTTGCCCGAGGCCACTTGCTCCATCATGAGCTGCTGCTCCCATAGGTCTGGGGTGTTAAGCCTCTGCCAACCTGAGATCTTACAGGCGAGCAGACACGGACAGACACAGAGAGAGAGCGAGAGAGAAAGAGAGAAAGAGAGAAAGGAAGAGAAAGAATCAAAGGAATTAATAAATGCACGACGCAAGAAACTAACCAAAGTACCGAAGAACACAAAACGTAAGACAACGCAAGCTGAGTGGCTTGGCTTCTTCTGGGCAGGCTGGCGCTTGTTCGATGAGTCCTGACGCCATCAAGAATGCTCGGGCACTGATGAGGCTGCCTACAACCCTGAAACACCGGAGTCGCATAATAACAGCTAGATCGCTATTTCGGGCTGTAGTTAGCTGCTGACTCACCCCCCTTTTGCAGGATACGAATACTGCGTGCTGCCTTCGCGGCTGACTTCTGTCTTCGTGGGTTGCCCGCGTTCACCCCCTGACTGAAGACCTGCGACCCTGAGTATCCCTCAGTGAAGTACCAAAGAGCAGGAAGCTGTTGTGAACCCTGCGTGGTGGTCGGAGACAGTCTACGAAGAACGACATTTTTTGATACGTGGGCTGTGCAGATCTGTGCAGTACTCCCACGTGTGACGTCCAGAAGAGAACGCCACTCCTCGTCGGGTGCTTCCTCTGTTTCTTGGCCGTTTGCTTCGGCGTCATCAGCGTCGTTGGCGCCGGCCGGCGTCTCCTCTTCCAAGTCGAGGGTGCGAGTATGTCGCAGAGCAGGGGCTGTGCCAGCACGACCGAAGTCAGGTCGCTTCTCCTCACACGAAGCGTCGTCCAAGCACATTGATCACTACAATGCATGGGCTGTCCTTGACCTGGAGGAATGTGTTCACCACGACAACCTGGGTTAAGTCCACGCAGTTCGATGTGAGTGAGAACCGCCGAGTGCTGACATTTCTGGGCATCGCCTCGTGTTCTGGCAGCTGCGGAAGTGGATCCATAGCGTCGGAGGTAAACAGCTTGAGCCAGAGTTGCCTCCCGATGGACGAAAAGAATGCAGACCTCTCTGTGTGTAGATGACACGCTACACCGCTACACAAGGTTGCGCAAGCAAAGGCCCCGTCAACGTTAACATCCATTCTCTGCATCTTCTGAATTCTGTGAGGCTTTTCTTCGCAGTACGTATCTCTCGCCAACGTGGCTTGGAACCTTCGGCAGTTTTGCCATGATTCAAAAACCAGTCGCATCCGAGTTGTCTCAGGGAACAGGTGGTCGCTCATCGACCTTGGAGTGTCCATTGCGTGTCCCTGTATCTCTTATCTCTCAGCCTAGGGCTCTGGCCTGGAGACATTTTCGAGAACTTGGGAACTGCAAGCTGATCCCAATCAACCTACGGGACTGACGCACCACGAACTTGCCTCGACTTTGCTGTGGCGGCTGTGGTTTCTGTGAAGGCCTCGCATTCGTCTTCGCACTCCGTTTCTTCAAGCTCCTGCTCTGCTGACAGCGTGGTTGACATCTGCAGATCGTCAATTGGCACCACGACTGCATCCTGGATCTTGGCTTGATGGCTATGTACCTGCATGTGGCTGCATGACCAAACAGCCGAACGATCGACTTCTTCAAGATGGGGCACTTTTTCTAGAATGTCCTCACGCCCGGCAGCTTTGAGGCGGTACTCTGAAAACCAGTCGTACAGCCTTACACGAAGGCACTGGCCCGAGGAGTCAAATGGAGCTCCGGTCTTAATCTAAGCTTCTGGCCAGTCGAAGAAAGCCCCTACAAAGGGAAGGGTCGTAATCTCATAGACCTGCTGCGATGCATTGAAGCTGGACACTCAAACTTAGGTCGGGAAGCACCAGCCAATGTGCGGTCGGCAGAAGCCTTTCTTTATCCTTCTTTGCACCACATGCTTGGACCGTTTGCCAAGCACTTCCTCCGCATAGTCTCTGGCGAAATCCGAAATGAGCACACCAAGTGATCCGGCTGAGCATTGAGATGCCTAGCACGGCCTCACAACGCAGCCTTTACGCACGCGAGAAAGTTTAAGGGCATTCTGGCCTGAAATGACAAACCCGTGCGACTGTGTGAAACGGCGTCAGAGCTCCACGCCCCTTGCCCGCGCCTTGCAGGGCAGCGAAACGATTTGGCCACGGTGACCGTGACGACAGCGGACGCGGTGTGTAAAGCGTTGCAAAGCATCGCAAAGCCGTCGTGTGGAGCCTCCTCGAGCTCGCGAGCTTCGCGAAGATCCTCCAAGTAGGCCTTTGCAACGTCAGAGGACTGCCATGCAGTGCCATGCAGTCAGGGACCAGGGACCAGGCCCAGGTCAGGACACAAACGATGAAAACAAGCAGGATCAAGCCACAGATCAGCCTTATGGCGTCAGGAAGCCTACAGGGCACAAGCCGAAGTTTGGAGCTCCCTGAGGAGCGGACCCCCATGCATCAGACCACCTGTGCAAAATGTCAGATCTCATGCCGGCAGGGAACCGTGGCACAGCTGTTGGCATGGCTGGAGAGCTGTTCACTGCAAAGATCAGCACATCTTAGCGATCGCTGGCCTGAAGGGCTCATCTGGCGGATAGTCGTCGTTGTAGTCATAATTCTGAAAAGCCTTGATGTTGCACAGGCTTTGCATCTGCTGCAGTGCGGCTTCCAAGGCACAGGCTGGTCTGGAGAGTGGCTTTCTAGCTGGCTCTTTCCTGCCGAGCCGAGCTTTCGGGGCCACAAGCACTCCCCTAGCAGAGCACTCGCACAGCATGCCACAGCCTGTCAAGCGTCGGAGGCTTCATCGATCTGCTTCCGCCAGAGCCTCATTTGCCACAGGTCTCATGTTCCTCCATGCTCCAGTTGTCAGTCAAAGCATCCTTTTGACAGTGAAGCTCCCGACTGTTTCGCTCTGCAGCGAGCCTCACTCGCGACCTGATGCCGACATGGCGAGCAGGGGCACCAGCCTTTGACCCTTTGAGCTCCGTGCGGTGCATCCTCCTGAGTTTTGAAGGGCACTTTGTTGAAGCTGATACAGTTAGAGTTAGAGCCACTTGCAAGGTGCGTGTTTTCGCATCGTGAGCTTCGGGCATCCTCATCATCTACCACCGGGTTTCTGAGGGGTATGGACGTCAAATCCTGTCGATCTCTTGAGCACCGTCCGATTGTGTGGCATAGGTCTGCGGCCTGCATGAGGGAGAGATCATCGCTGTTGTCTTCGGCCATGATGGCCCTGACAGGTGTAACTTGCGGCTTGTGACATTCCGGTGCATGGAACAGGCCGGGAACAGCACTTGGAAACATCAACAGACCAGGCCTCTCAAACTCTCCGCCGGAGCCGCTGCGGCCGCTGTTGAGCCAAGGCACGAGGTGCAACGGCAAAAGGATACAAATGACAAATTCGGCAGCAGCACAACACAGCGTTTGCACAGAGCTGCTTCCCCAAAGCAAAGTGCCCGACCCACTGCATGCCGACTATGCTGTAGATTCTGCGGAAGACATCCATACCTGCGATCACCTGTCCAAGAACTCAAAGTATCACTGCAGCCCCAGTGAGTCAAATTCTCTGCAACTCCCAGAACCCATGCCAGAGCTCGAAGCTGAGACCCCAGAGCCCTCCGGATCAGCCGTGAGAAGCGCAAAGCGGCAGCTAAGACTGGCTCCATCCACTGCTTCCAATTGCACGTGCAAGACTTTGCCTCTCCGTCCCGTGTCACGGCATGAATATGTCGCATGCCATCCTCGACAGGAGACGTACTGACGAAGAGTCTGCGAAACGTGCAATATCGTGCAAGCATGCAACTAGCGCGTCGACAGCTTCGCAAGGAAAGCCGTACGCTCATGCTGACTCCTCGAAAACGACGCCGCCACAAAGCTCAGGATCGTAATCTGCGCAGCGCGAAAGCTGTTTCTTGACATGCAAGAGGCAGGACTGGACGGTGCATATCCTGTGGTGAATGACAAAGGACATCTACTATTTGCTATGCTGCAGGTTCTGGCATGCGACAGGTAAAAAACTTCTGCTTCAGGACCAGCACCATTCTAAACTTCCGTGATCGAGCTCTTCGCTATGAAGGTCAACATTTCGTGAAGTCTGACCCCCAAGAATGCCGCTGCGACCCGCGCCTGGGGCATGCAGGTTCGTCAGTGCGACAAGGCCTTCGTACTCGGGGTTCTCGTCCATGCGCTTTTGCAAGAATTCCACCTGCTCGCATGGCTGGCATGATGGGTTCCGCCGATACGGAACTCGGTTTCTGAGGCTTCGTGCCTGCTTCATGCAAGATGGGCAGTCACCATCATAGAGCAAGTTGATCACCCAGCGGTCATCCTCCAAAGAACACTCTCACCAGTGAAAGTATGCCACGCAATGCACGTCTCTCTCTGCACCTTGAGATGCTGCAGCGTCAGGGGCTGTACCTCACCTGGCTGCCAGGAAGAAGCGCAATGATCTCCATCTGTGCAGAGGTCCCAGCTCTGTGGAGTCTGTGCAGTGTCCTCTTGGGCATCATTCACCGTCTCCTGTATCAGCTTTCATCTGTGCGGAGGACGCAAGACTTAACTGGCCTAGCCTGGAGAAAAACAAGGAGCAATTGCACAAGAGCTGAAGCCGTGTTCTTCAGACCTTTTTCGCTTCAAGCTGATGGGTCCACATTGGAGTCCAGGCAATAGAAACACGCGAGCACGACCAGACAGCAACCCGAACACTCTTAACCAGCCCGTGTCGTAGTTCCTGCATGACTTGGAGCCTTGTTCTGTTCTTGCCCATTACATTACAAACCTGAGGTGAGACAGGCATTGCCGCGGAAGCGCACCTACCGCCGCCTACGCCTTCGTCTCTTGTGTTTCCGTCGCTCAGAAGAATAGCTCTGACTGGCCTGGTTGCAGTATACTACGCAAACTTACGTACATTCGTGTACCCAGAGTGAGACTGCATCTGGGAAACAGGCCGACGACTCCCCTCGTTTGCGTCTGCGCGACCTGCTCAAGAAGCAAAAAACACACACAGGCACAGAAATGAAAGACATGCACAGGCCGACAAACACACGAGTGGGTGCATGCAACATGCCACATTCCACAACATGCCTGTTAAATCACATATAATTTAGAGCCGTCTGTTGCCAAGGATCTTTTGCTTGCCATCCTTGCTGGCTGCAGCGTCCTGCAACCGTAGCAACGACAGCACTAACAGGACACGAGCCTGTCTTGTTGCAGTCAGGCGCATTAGGTTGGCCTCGACATCACAATAGAAACCGCTCGAAAGACAGAACGCCGCGCGACGTAGAAGAGAGTGCTGCTAGCAATAGCAAGAGAGAAGGAACCGCCACGTGAACGGAGACTGCCAAGGTCGCCCATCTTGGTGATAAGCTCCAACCAAGACCGAGTCGTAAAATCAACCGAAACCCTTCTGAGAGCGTATGATTACAGCGGAAGAGCTTTTCATTTGAGGCAACGCTGTCGATGTCGTTGCAACTCTTGTCGCTTGAGATGCGGAGAGTAAAAGAACTGGTGCAGAAGCTGCAACCACACTTCTCTTCCCGCGTCGGAGGGAAAGTCAAAAAGCAGGAGCGCAGTTCCTGCAAATGATCCCAGGTTCAAGTCTTGTTGAAGCGCCTTCGGGCCATCCTTGACTCCAGATAGCTTCACCCCACAGGCCCACTGCCCATGTACACCCGCCCGAGGCTGCCGAAACTTGACTTGGCCCTGGCTTTCGCAGAATGACACCCATATGGGAGCTTCCGAAAATCGAGGAACTAAAACAGTACCCCAAGTAGTAAGGTCTTTACTATGACGACCAAAGAAGGTACCCCGAATTTTCGGAAACTCCCATATCGAAACTCTCTCCTTGCAATGGTGAGGCCCTACAGCAAAGCAGACCCTAACTATCATCAACGTGACAACGACAAAAGCCGCTTCCATTACAAAGTTCAGTGGTAGGGAAGTGGATATAGAGCAACACTTAAAGCAAGACAGAACCAAGAGGTCGATCAAAAGTACAGTATCTTGAAGAGAAAACTGCTGAACAATGCTGTAAGTCATGAAAAAAGGTGTCAGAACAGTGGGAAGGCGGTGGACAAATGAACGGTTCAATCGAATTGTGGGAAAGGCCAAACGTTGGAAAGGCAAAGATGGGAAAATGATGTAACATTGTGAAAACCACCGCGTTGACCAGTTGTCTGCCTTTCCTGTTCTCCGCTTGCCTGTCCTCCGCCGTTTGCTTCCTATCCAGCATGACCTCCTGTTTCAGATGAATCAACTTCTATCATCTTCTAAGTACACCACCACCGCCAACATCAACGCTACCCGCAGAAGCGGCACCCTACCAGCACTGAGCACCAGCGGCATCACCTCCTCCACCGACACGAGCAGCATTAGCCAACAAGGACAACAAAGACCAGGACCAGGAAGAGCGTCGTAGCGACGAACGCACGAAAGCGTTCACACCACCAAGGTAGCAACGACATCAAGCCCAGAGACGATGTATGCTTGCTGTGCGCAACCATGCCGCCATCACTTGGCAGGAGGTGCAGAACAGGAAAGCCAGGCGGGGGAAGGACGTCCCGAGTTCACGGGGTTTCCGCGAAGAGGAATATGTTTCTCTTGAGAGTCATCTCACCGAAACAAGCATGTCAAGGACAAACAGCTCCGTGCTTAGAGACAATACAAGGCGACGAGCGCGTGGAAGAGAGAAGTCTACGGATTCGATGCCTTGAGAGCTTGGCTTCGGCACTCCAACACTGGAAGGACAGGACGGCTTCGAACCCTGCGCTGCCTCTGCCCCAGCTTCTTGGGAAGTCACTTCCTTTCGTGACTTGCTCTTGTCGCGCTGGGAGTCGCCCTTTTTTCTTGACCTGCTCCTGTCTTCGTCTTTTCCTTTCTCTTTATCCTTCGCAAGCATAGATCATGGTTCAGGTCAACTTCAGTCCAGCAACCACCGGCTGTCAAAATTCAAGGATTATGTCGAGCCTTTTTCCCGGCTTTCTCTTCAGCAGTCCCTTTGCTTTTCTTGGTCTTCTCTTTCTTCGATTTCTTCTCTTCGGTCTTTGAGGGACCGTTGGCCTCGTCTGCAGCCACCTGGTCACCATTGACCTGTGCATCGTCTCGCAGCTTCTGCTTGAAAACAGTGGGGCTTCGGCAAGGGCTGGCAGCGGCTGGCCTGCCCGCTTGACGCTTTCGCGGCCTTGTCAGCCTTCAGGATGCGTTCTGCGTGCTTTTGCGTGCTGCGCTGCGATAGATCCATGGCTATGCAGAGTTCCTCGCAGCGGCACGGCGGGGCATCTTTTTTCGACTAAGCTCTTGCCAGGGCTGCCTCTTCAAGCTTGGCAGCAACTGCTTCTGCGGCAGCTTTTCGGGTTTCTGCCTGGGCACTCGCAGATTGTCCGAGACTCCTTGCTTTTTTTGGCTAATATTCCTGGCCTTGCTCTTGGCCGCTACTCTGCCCACCTGTCGAGTTTTTCGGTACCACATCCACGGCCAGTAGGCTCTCAGGGCCTTCCTTTCATCTTTCTTGACCTCTTTGTCTTTGTTTGCACCTGACTCAGAAAAGCGAACTTCTTGTTTTGGAATTTCACGGTTCTATACGAGGTCCGAGGCTGCGTCCTTTGTCCTCCAAGGCTGTGGGCGTGCACAAGCGCAGGCCAAGAAATGAAACTGTCTTCGGTCCTCGGAGTCCGAGGATGAAGAGCTGGAGGAAGATGAACTGGAGGACTTCGGTCCGCCGGGAGCTGGCCTGAGGCTGAGTGGTCTCCGAGGCCGTTGGCGGGTTTCGAAGGCTCTGCTCACTGCTCTGGGGCTCTTCGCATGCCGTAGCCAGGCCAACCCCACGCCGCAGCTGCCGCCGGGTTCCAGCCACTATACCTCAGCCAATCTCAGCCACAAGGCCATGGGTGTCCCGTGACACGGGCCGTCCAGGGCGGCTGCCAGTTCGCTGGCGGAGCCGTGTATGCAGAGGCTGGCGGCGCAGCATAGGCCTCTTCACAGAACAGCAAGGCAACTCCTCTAGCTGTTGCCCGATCTTCCGTGATCTGAGCTCCTCGCAGTCGGAGCTGGAGTCGGAGATGGCCCGGTTGGCCAGACAGGTGCGGGAGGGGGCGGAAAGTCCATGATCCTGGGAGCAGGTACACGGACCAAGCGGACGATGTGACGTGAGCACATGCTGCTGCTAAGGACGCTTCTGTGGATCCTGTGCCGGAGGCTTCGACAACGTCTTCAACCTGGATCGATTTGGAAGCCCGGCTTGGCCCCAACGGATAGAATCGGGTCAAAGCCAAGCCCCTGACCCCAGGCCACTGCTCGACCCACAGCCTCCTGACCTGGGCAGAGAATGGACGAAACGGCCCAAACACCGCCGTTCAGTGCAACTGGAGGATACTGGAGGCATGCACTGGAAACTTGGCGAAGCCAGCCCAGATTAGCGAGGGAGCTTTCTGACTTCATAAAAATTGTTTGCATTGCCATTCATGTCGCTAAAGGCTGGTCCATTCATTCCCCAAACGGTTCCTACACATTTTCGACCAAGACCGCACAAGTCCAGTCCCTTTTGGGCCGTGCTGCCCACATCGAACTCATTGCAAAATCGTACTTCGGAACTGTCTATTGGTTGTCGCGGTGAATCGCGCCGGCGTCACAGTGCCAGCGTATTCTGTGATGTCATTGAATGGGAACACGATAGTCCATGCCTCTGGAAGTTGCCAAAGTCCAGCAAATGGCAGCCTCGAGACGCCGGAATGTGCCGAAATTCGAAACGTGCTCCCGCCACAGTGCCGTGCGCATTTTGGGATACTCCTCTTGCTCTTCCCTCATGCATTTCCGCATATTTCCGCCCTCCATCGCCCTCCCAAAATCGCGATCTCGCCGGTGTCCTGCAACTTTCGATCACGACTCGAGTTTTAACGCGACCGTGGGGAAGCCGTCTGTACATTCAGCCCCCGGTGTCTCGGTGTGGTTCGTTGCCTTCTTTTGCAAGGCGTCAGACATGCCTCTGGGCGTTAAGCGGGTCTATGGAATAGGTTGTTTCAGTAGAGGAGTCGATGCAATTCGACTTTAAGCTTAAAATGTCAAATCCGATGACTGGTTGTGTCAGCTTGATGCTCCTGCTGCGGCGGCGGGTCTTGCTTCATTAGGACTCCGGCCAAGTGCAAGTCTCCATAAACAAATTGGTCAGGACCCGGCTCCGCCTGTGGTCTTTCATTCTACAGCATCTTTTCTGGCTTCGCTGCCAATTTGGGGACACAGGACGTGCTCGCGGTCTGGGGCTTGGCGCTGGGCCCCAGCATTGGGAATTTGTGCACAATGACTTGCCAGTGCGCCACATTGCATTTCTTCTCGTCCAAGATTCAAGCGGAACAACTAGAGAGCCGGACAAGAGAGCATCGACCACGTTCCGCATGTGCTATGACGAATATGGGAGCGAAGACTGCTCTCGGATGCTCATTCCAAGTCACCCTCCCCACATCTGATCTGTGCTGCACTGTTCAACTTGAACCCTCTGATACGAATCGTTTCATTCGCAATCTTGACCGCGCGATTCCGCCGGAACGACCGACAGCCGACTGACAGATCGATCAGTGGCTGCGGCGGATGCGGCAGTGCATGCGCTTGTTTTTCGCCGCACTCGGAAGACAAGGCCCGAGCCAGAGCTTCTCCCGGAGGGCATCTGTAGGAGTCACAGGCGGAGGAGGCCTCGTCACTTGGCTACGAGCTACGAGTAGCTTGGCTCAGGTGATCTCGGGTGCAACGCTGCCTCGGCACCACGTAGTCATAGCCTCCTTGGCCTTTTCCGTCTTTGCCTTTTCCACCTATATGGCTGCCGTCTGTTTCTGCCACTGCACGAAGTACACGATTGACAGAGCTGTGCCTCCAAATGCTCCGGCGTTCTGGGTTTCGGCCCAGTTGTCAGCCTCCTCCTGAAATCGCAGACTTGTGGATGGAACCTTTGCGGCTCGGAAGCATCGCTGCTCCTGCTCCTTGATTGCAGCTGCTTTTGCTGCTGCAGCGACACGCTCCGACAGCGATAGTGGAGCCGTCGTCCTAACGAGGCGTGAACGGACAGCGACTCTAAGATCGCAGTCTAAGTCTACACTGTCTACACCATCACATCATAGCACATCCATCACTACATCACTCCACCAGTCTGAACAATGCTCAGGCCAAGCTGCCCAGTGGGACATGGAGAGTCTGTGAGGCAACGCTTGCCGCCTTCGCCATCGTCCTCTGTGCGGATTTATGTGAGCAGAGAGCCCCAAGGACGAGCTCAAAATAAAACACGATTCCTCTAGGAAGAGAAAGTCGCGCTGAATGCCTGAGCATGCGAGGCGGCTGACTAACACACCGGCACTAGGACTCGCCACCCATGGTAGATCGCGCAATCCTGAGCCTTCAGCCATGAATGGAGCAGCGCTCACTTGAAGAAGCAGGGCCTGCAAGCTCTGCTTTCAAATTGCTGCATGTCCCCTAGTTGTAGCAACTACCTTGAACGCGACTGACAAGAATCAACTTCAGCAGCTGCCTTTGCCGCCCTTCCAGTCGCCCTTCCAGTCGCCCTTCCAGTTTCCTTTCCAGTCGCCCTTCCAGTCGCCCTTCCAGTCGCCTTTCCAGTCGCCCTTCCAGGCACCTTTCCAGCTGCCCTTCCAGGAAGCAGCACCCTTCCAAGCCCAGTCAGGGCCACCCTTCCACGATCCATCACCACCTGCACTGAACGGAGTGCCATGATGATTGAAGACATGCTTGGAAGCCTCACCTTTGCCTTTGCCATAGAAGCTCATCGAAGATTCCCCTCGGATGTGCCACGCGAGACACCAAAAGTAATGGAACAAGTTCTGTTGCAGTCTTTGAGCTGATGCCCCCAATGCGTTGATCTGAGCACGCCGCTTGATCGGCTCTCGAGCTCGTAACCGTCATGACAAGTAAGGCAGGTGTGTGTGCTTCTGGCTGGGTTCATGCGTGTCTGAGTGCTGCGGTGCGGTTGGTCTGCTGGTTTTCAGTAGATACTTGCTGTGTTCTTCTGAAAGCTGGGCAAGGCTTTGGGGAATCTGCATTTCCCTAGTTCGAGCACCAGATTCACTGTCAAAGTTTCAAGCTTTCGGCAACTGCAAAGGTGGGCGCCTAGCATTCTGGGTGAGTCTCCGTCGGTTTCTTTCGGCATTGCGCTCAACATGTTTCATCCAAGCCGGTAGATGCAACTGCGGTGGGCGTCGTGGCGATAGTAAGTGAATTGTTCAGCACGTTTACCTGTCGCTGTGCTTGCCCCCCGCAGACTTTGCCATACTCACCGCCTCTTGTGCTGCATGTGCTCTAATGGTGCCATTCGGAACAAAGGTGTGCCCGAGCTTACGTTGCGCGTCGTGAAGCAATAAATCCACCAGCCAGTCTGCGCTAGCAACAAAACAGTCACAACAAGCGATGCGACACTGCCAGGACATCCTGGACATCGGACCCATGGCAGAAAACCACAACTCGCATCTCCTGGCTCTGTGCTGCTTCCTCCAACACAGTAATCTCGTCGAGCGAGAAATGTGCTGCAAAAGCCTCAGACAGGACACGAGATGCGACTCCCTAGACTTGGAATCTCCAGGCCTTAAAACCTTCCTTCATTTCGGGTGCCTTTCCGAGCACACGGCTTGGGGAGCACCAGAGCCAAACAAAACACAGACCGCGCGGTTCAAGCCTTGGAAAGCTTGACCCGGATTGGTCGATTTGCTGTCAAGTGCACATCCTCAATAACCGACACCTCAGTTCAAGCCAGAGCGTTCGTTACTCTGACTCAGACATCCTCTTTGTGCATTCGAAAGCACCACGTTGCCCTCCAATCCTTTCGGGTTGTATGGCTTCCTGACAACCAAGGTTCTCATGTGCACATCTTCCAGATCACTCTTGGGCGCACCCCTTGGATCCAGGAACGTGCCAGAAAACGATGTCGTCCGCCACTACCTCGACAGGATTGCAGCTCAAAGTTAAACATGCCCGAACCCAAACCCCAAAGCCTGAAAGGCACAAACCCTGGCTACACCGCTAAGTTCAATCCATGCACTGCTGTTTCCCAGTGCTAACGGCAAAGAGAAGGGAGACGTTGACACGCTTACACGCTTGTGTTTTTGCAAGACTCAGGCTGCACTGGTCTGGTCCGGTGGTAGTGAAACGCGGTTATTTCCACAAGCATCCCGGACTGCTCATGTCGGTTCTGGCATCTGCTTGCCGCCAAGCACCTCTGCCAGTGACATGCCCAGCACGTGAGGCGTGAGGCGGGCGACAATGGGGCCGCGCCTTGAACTGCGAGAAGTACTGTCTTTCCAGTTGCCTGCTGAGTGATCCAAGAGGACACGCTATGCTGGCTATGCTCCATGCGCACGTCGACCGTCGACTCACAACTTCGCGTTTCAAGACGGCACCTGGCCATGGCGTGGCCTTCCTCAGGCCTGCACGGATCTGGTCAGAGCCATTTCAAGCAAAAATTACTGCACCACATCTGATACTTGTCAGACAGTCGAGTTATTCCGAGGGCTTCGGGATCTTAGAAGCCACCTAAACAGAAAAGCTGCCCGTCACACTGCGGGCATTCCCGATCTTGTCTCAACAAACCTCTAAAAAAACTCTACAGGTAGCAGAACGGACTACTCAACTCAGAGTGATACCACTCTGACAGAAACCGGGAGGATATGCCCTGCAGCGGAGAAACCCTCTGCCTCATCGGGACCATGCGTTGCTGCGAGGCCCTGGCAGCGGCCTCCTTTTCTGCCTTCCTCTGGGCCTTTGGCGAAACCGACGCAGCGACGCGCTCATGGAGCCATGAAGAGGACTTTGGAGTGCGCTCCGCTTCAAGCCTTCATCTGTTCCAACTCTGCCAGAGCCGCCTGCTTCTGCCTGGCCTGGAGTAGAACCAAGAGCAAGCACCTTTGCCACCCGAAGCCGGACTTGCCAGAACCTCTGCAATTCGCATCTGGTATTGCTGGAGCTCCTGCAGCGCAAGCGTTGATCACGCAGCTCGGTGACGGCATCCACGGTATGCCCAGCATGCCCTGTTGCAATCGTGTTCCTCCTCGGCCTTCCTCTTCTTGTTCGAGGATCCGGAAGAGGAGCCTGAGGATGAAGATGAAGAGGACGACTTCCTCACAGCAGCAAGTGCGGCATTCAATGTGAACTTAGACTCGCGCTGCGTATCTGGGGTGCCGCCAAGGTGCTTCTTCTTTTTCTTCTTCTTTTTCTTGTCCTTCTTCTTTTTCTTATCTTTGCTCTTCTCCTTCTTCTTGTCCTTCTTTTTGTCCTGCCACAATGCTACCGACGGCTCGCGAAGAGCTCTTGACAGCACTTCGCCCTGTCCTTGCTGCTTCCAGCCCCAGGAATTGACGGTTGCATGACTTTCTTTTCCATGAAATCCAGCGGGTGCACTCCCAACTTCTTGGACTGCTTGAAGAACTGCCTTTGGCACACTGAGTGTTTGCGCAGCTGGGTAGGAGCTGGTGAAAGTAGCAGTGCATGTGCATATGCGTGTAAGTCAGAGTGTGTGATAGTGTGTGTCTGTGTGGGTGTCTCTCACCATGCAAGCCACGAAGGGTCAAAGGTGGGGTCCATCGTGCTCATCTTGTTGACGTCGACTTCAGGAGCATTTCGAGACTGGCCGTGCCATCTCTTCCCAACTATTGCATCCTTAGATGTTGAGCAGCACTGTAAAAAGACCATGGCATGCACCCATGCATAATTACAGAAGTCTTGCAGGAGGGACTCGTTTACTGTCCGTTGCTTGCCGGCCTCTTGCATTCGAAGCTTGGCAACCGCTGGATGAACACCAGCATCGATGCTGTCTTCCACTGTCTTTGGCTTCCAAACATAGTCGAACAGCGCTGACATACCTTCAGCATATGTGCTTGAGACGTCTGGATCTCAAGCTAACACAGACAGAAATAGGGAGCTTCTGCGTTGGACTTCTAAGCACAAACAGACCGATTGAACCATGACCGTCCCGTAAAGGCTGTCTAGCTTTAGCATAACCAGTCGCTTTGCTTGGAGTGGGTTGGGATAAGCTTTGCAGTTCTAGAATGAAGCTCGTTTACTGTTGTTTCTTTTGTCACGTCGCTGTGGTGGAAGAATCAGCGTAACCACCATTACCTTGATGTCGCGACAACACTGAGACCTGACGGAAAGCTATGTGGAATGAATCAGATGCCAAGATTTGCAAAACAAAAAACATGCCAAGACTGCACGATCGCTGTATTGCAATCCTCGGGCAAACCTGCCAAAACCCTCGTGCAAACCTGCTGAGACTATAACACCCCATCCACGCCTCGTCAAAGCAGGAAAGCTGCTCGGAAAGCAAGCGTGATCAAAAGGAAACCCACCAAGCTGCGAAAACCCACATGGACAAACCGCAAGAAGCATGATTCAATGAAGTCAAGTGCTGGGAGAATAAAACTACTGAATACAACATAGCCAAAGTCTGTGAGGTATGCTCAAGCTGCTTGTGGCACAAAGCTATGGAACTCTTTTTGCAGAACCCACTCGCAGAAGGAAGAGTGCTGTTGAAATTGGTAGTTAATACGGGCGACAGTAATGTTGCCAGAAAATACTACTGCGTGGGTGAAATGCCTGTGTTCAAGATCATCCTCCTATAACGCACCAACGCCACGTTCGTGCGCACAAAGCACTGCCACGCAGATACTATGCGGCAGCGTCTAAACCGCTCAAGTAATGTGGAACACAGCAGTCTCTGCACATGCGCAAAGCGAGAGATATGCAAAGCGGAAGTTCGTCGAAAGGGACAACTGGACACTGCAGCGATCCTTATTAATTGAAGAGCCATGCGGATTAGAGCACGGACGTCATCATAGTTGGATCATGGCTGCTGTCTTCTCAGAACGGATTAGACCATGGACGTCACGTGGTTCCAGAGTAGATGCTCTCCTTTGGAACGGACTAAACCATGGACGTCATCATGTTTGGGCCATGGATGCTCTTCTCAAAGCGGACTAGACCATGGACGTCATGGATGCTTTCGTCTTCTCAGAACGGACAGAACCACGGACGTTATCATGACTTTGGCCTGGATGTGCTCTTCTCGGAACGAATTAGAGCATGGATGTCAGATGGTTCCAGAATAGCTGCGCTCTTCTCAGGAACGATTCGACCGGACGTCATCATGGTTGTTGGGCCATGGATGCCTCAACTCAGAACGGGTTACATCATGCACGTCATTATGGTTGGGTATGGATGCTCTGAACTCACAATGCGCAAAAAAACACTGCGCGGATCGAGATCGAAATACAGGGGGTCGGGAATTGGTGCGGGTGCCAGCATTTTCTACCACAGCAGAAGCATCACTCTTGTGTGGGAACGTGGTGTTGGTGGGTAGAACCAACAATGCAGACATCACAAAGACAAACGTAAGTATTGTGAAAGCAGAGGAAGTTCTGCCGTGTTGCCCGGACAGAATAACAAACAGGGAGAGCGAGAAACTTGAAACGCAGAGCGCGTGAATCCCCGATGCCTGCTGAAACCGTAACCGGCCCACTGACTGGAAAAAGCTGCAGATCCCAAACACGACCCTCCGAAAATCGGCCACATTGCAGAGCACAGGGTATTTTTTTCCGAAAAATCCAAAGCCAAAGCAAATCCTTGATTTGGAGTCGCCGAAACCTTACGTTCGGCATGAGGAATCTACCCCGAACCTCGGAAGGAGTCCGGAAAACCCTCAACCCACAGTAATCTAAAGTATGACGCACTAAGAGCTGCTAGCCCAAAACCAACAAGAGCTTGGGGAATGTTAAAACCCAAAGCCTAAGGAATGTAACAGAAAAGTGGAGTTCACCATTGGACAGCCCTAAACTTGCCCTCAACCCTGAAAGGAACAGGACTCGCCGACAACGCGGTTTGGTTTGTCCACTGAACCCTTAACCAAAAAGGTGGACTCCTAAGAAACCTCAAAGGGTAAGGTTGGGCAGTGACAGACGAATCAGCTCCTCACAGAATGGGCATGATTCACGGCATGACAGGTACCAAAAGGTGCTTGGCGATTGGCACACAACACAGAAGCAACACCTCGCTTTTGCCTAATGCCAAATCAACAATTACCCGGCAACACATGCAAGTAAAGAAACAAGTCACAGCTGTGTGTACTTCATTGATTCATTGATCCCCTGCTTCCCTTTCCTGTGACAAAGATTCATAAGTCAGACATGACAGGAGATAGGACAAGGCGCCAGTCACTTTCCAGGTAGTCTGTCGGGGCTACGGATGCGCTTGCGTGGTCATGCACCGTCTGATCGTAGGTAGAGTTGACTGTTGCTGAAGGCTTGCTCAAAGCGGGCTGGCAGCCGGATCTGCGATGCATCCTTGTTCAAGTACAACGCTTTGCTGACCCGACTTGCAACATGATCCAATGATGCGTTTATCAGCACTCCTTGAGCCAGAGATTTAATTGCTGCAGGGCACGGCAGAAGTGAAAGCAGTTGAGCAAAGACAAAGCCCTCGAGTCCTAGAGAAACCTCTGGACCGTGCCTTGACTGGTGTGCCCTTTGGTAGGGACGGCATCTCTTGAAGTCCATCCTGCTCAGGAGATCTGAATGCCATCTGTGAATATCTCCTGCTGAACGACCCGGAAGCCTGCAGCACCACGTCAGAAGCATCGCCGGCAGCCGCCACCTCGGCCCAAGCACACGAGATGACAGCATTCCAAGCGCAATGCACACTTTCATGGGGTTTCTTGGCGCACTGCCACGGCTAGTCGCTGACGCTGCTTCGGGAAGATCGTGGAATCTGGGCGGCCGGCCGCTGAGCCGCTGAGGCATGTTTCTGCAGAGAACACTCCGAGGCCGCTGCTCCGGGTCCGGCGCCGAGAAACCAGGGCGGCAGCAGCTCCAACTGGAGCCCAAGTTGCAGAGCCTCCAGGGAACAGCTCATGCGAAGTGTAATGTCTATGTCATCTACAGTCTAGCATGCAACCCTTTCCTGCAACACCATGCCATACCATGCTTGCCTGTGTGGCTACGATGTTGACGCGGCCGTAGGCTTGGCCTGCAATGCCAGACAGTATAAGCTGCAACATGCAGCACCCAAGACATCACATCAGGGAAGGGACGGTGTCGCTGTAGCTGTCCATGGTTTGACCTGCCACAGATTGGCTTGCAGCTTGCGGAATGTTTAAAGCTCGACATTCAAAACAAAGGCCTCGTGCACTGGTTGGCTTGCAGACGTCTGAACAAAAGCTGCCATCGACGGCAAATTCGAATCCCGGAGCCACTACCAAATGTTGTACAGCTTAGCTAGTCCAATTCTGGAGTTCACACATTTGAGGAGTCAAGATGAGACTTCTGCCATAACACGACTTTGGCACTCAATCCAGACTGCGATGCCAACATGGCCAACATGCCCGCGGATATGCCACAACCTCCCGCGTCTCGGAACAGACTGGCTGCCCTCGCTTTCGTCGCTCTTGCACACTTGTGCAAAGCCAGAGTCGGCTGCACTCCTATCTACAAGCCACGACCAAGTGTCGCGGCGAACCTTGCCTCGTCCGCTCCCAGAGGCCGCCAGAGCTTCTCAGAGCTTCGCCGGCTTTGTACAAAGGGGTTTAGGGAGAATTAGAATGGACAAGAGAAATCCATCCGCCTCCTGCGGTGGACATGCAAGACTGTCTCCCGGTCATGATGCCTGTCAAGCAGAGCAGAGCTTGCAAGACAACGGCGACAATGGCAAGGACCCAATGCACACTTGCACAACCTCTCACCTGAAAGCTACACATGGCCATGAAGTCATGAAGTGTGAAGTTTTCAGCTGAGCTTTTGACTTCCAAGCGTCTGCGGACATCGGCCCAGAGGCCACCCAAACGGAGCTCCAAGACCTAAAAGGACGGAGCTGCACACTGCCAGGGTGCCCTTCCAGTGATGCCTGCCGCGTCAGAGGCGGGGAGAGATTTCTCCAGCCTCAGAACATGGCGCAGTACACACAAGAAGCTCTGGAGGTCTTGAGCTGCCGGCCGTCCTCATCGTCATCCGTCCGGACAAGTCCTTGCAATGTGATGGTCCCCTGCAAGTCGGTTTGTAAGCTGAATGAATCTCCTGTTCCAGATCCCATATATGCAACCACGGGATATGGCTCCTGAAAATGGCAGGTCGAGCAATTCGGTTGCTTCGCCGGGAATCTGCATCTGAACAAGAAACATCTTGGTCGTTGACTCGGATGGGCTCTGTCGCCCACCAGCTCTCCAAGACCTTGGATTACAGGAGCTGAACAGCATGCAACCGCGCCTCGTGAATCTGTCGAGTCGAAATCGGCTGAGATTGGGGCCAATCGAAACCGAAAAGCATGAGAAGGGCAGTCGAAGTCAACAAAGTATCTTAGCTTCCACCCCGTCCCAAGCATGGACTGTGCGAAATCCTGCGCAGCGCCTCAGGTGCCGTGGACAGGCCGGGCCTTCGCATCAGCACGCGACTCGCTGGTTCTTTTCGGCCTTCTTTGGGCCCCTCGCCTTCTTCCATCGAGAACACCAGGCTCATGCTCTTTGCAGCTGGAAGTTGTACCTGCCAAGTGCTCAAAACGCCCGCACCCACTGTCACTGCCCACGGCTGCTGGCCTCTTTAAGCCTTGTCAATGACAAGGCCGCGCTGGGTGTGGCGGCAGCGACTGCTTCCTGCCGCCGTGTAGCATCTGGCTCACAGCTCAAAACACAATAGAGCTCAGTCTGCATGACACAGCAGGCCAAGTCCGTCCGATGGAACAACGGCTTCTCGCATTACTACACTGTAAGTTGCTGGAGCATCGCACAGTGTATTTACCAGCACCTGTCTTGCGACAGTTGGCATGTCACCTGCAAAATGGGCCGCTTGCTGCCTTAACACTTACTTCGGCATGCTTCG